ATATATATATATATGTATATATATATATATATATTATATTATATTATTTGGTTCTTTGCTTGCAGAGATAGCCGATAAAAGTGTTAAGGTTGATTATTAAGAAGAGTCATTGAATATATTTTTTGTGTTTGTTTGCTGCAGAGCGCAGCGCTGAGTTATATAGATTTAAATATATTCTTCGCCTTCATTGCTAAGTGCGTTGCATGCAAACAAGCAACAGCAAAAGCTACATTTTAATACCCATTCTCCTGCTCCTGCTGCTGCTGCTGCTGCTGCTGCTGCTGAGGCTGCTGCTGCAGAGGCTGCTGCGACTTGCACCCCTGCCCCGCAGCAGCAGCAGCAGCAAGAGCTCAACAGCATGAGCAGCAGCAGGAACAGCAGCAGCAAGAGCTCAATCACCAGCAGCAGGAGCAGATGTGGAGGTTCTCTGCTGCAGCAGCAACATATCGTGCTGCTGCTGCAGCAGAGAACCTGGATATGTTGCTACATTTGTTTGTTGCTGGGGTGTATGCACAGCTTAGCAAAGTATTGCTTTTTATATATTTGTCTATTTTTATGTCTATTAACAAATATAAAGATGTACACGGCTGCTGGCTTTGCTTGTTTATTATTTATAAACAATAAATAATAATATAATATAATGAAGACTAAGAAAGAGATATAAACACAGACAGACAAATATAATAAATAAAATAAATATAAATAAAGAAACAAAGATATATATATAATATATAATATATATATAATATATATAATAAATATAAATAAATATAAATAAAGAAACAGAGAGACATTTAAAGAGACAGACAAATACAACCAAAAGATATTAAACAAAGACAGACAAACAAATATAATACACAAAAATAAATTAAGAACAAATATTAATAAAATAAACAAAGACAGACAGACAGACTGCTGTTTGTTTGTCTGTCTTTGTTTGTTTGTTTGCTGCTGAGCTTTACTTGGCTGTCTTTGCTGTTTGTTTTTAATCTCTTGCTGCTCTTCTTTATTTTATTTTCTTGTGTCTTCTCTGTCTAGATTTGTCTGTCTCTCTTTGTTTCTTTATCTGTCTTCTGCTTCTGCTGCTGCTGCTGCTATTGCTGGTGCTGTACAGCTGCTGTTGCTGAAGTTGTTGCTGGAGTTGTTGCTGCTGCTGTTCCTATTGATGATACTGCTGCTGCAGATAGTATTCTGTCTGCTGAAAATGCTGCTATTGCTTCCTCTCCTGCTGCTGCAGCTGCTGCCGCCGCTGCTGCTGTTGCTGCTGCAACCAGGGATGACACCACCGGTTGCTGCTGCTGTGTTTGCTGCAGCATTGATACGTGTGTGGCCTTAGGCAGCAGCAGCAAGCAGCAGCCAGCAGCAGCAGCAACAAGCAGCAGCAGCATTGGAACAAGCAGCAGCAGCAGCAGCAACAGTAGCAGCAAGCAGCAGCAAGCAGCAGCAAGCAGCAGCAGCAGCGATCTCGTTAATATAAATATCCTTGCTGCCTTATGTGTGGTTTCATTATTTATTATTAAAAATAATTAAAATAAATAAAGACAAACAAAAACACAGCCCCAGACAAACCCTAAACCCTAAACCCTAGACCCTAAACCCTAAACCCTAAACCCTGAGAGGGTGGGTGGGTGGTCGGGGCTGGTGCCTCCAGGGGGGGCCCCTTAATAACATTTAATTCTTTTTAATTAAATTATTTTTTGCTTTTAATGCTGCATGCAAAACAAACAGAGGCGAGAAAGGCCTCCAAAGGACCTATGGGAGCCGCTCAGGGTCTTTCGAGGGTTTAGGGTTTAGGGTTTAGGGTTTAGGGTTTAGGGTTTGGGGGCCCCAGGCATTACTGCGGCTCTGTTGAAGGATTAAACGCCGCCTAAACCTCCGATTTGTTTTCTGACGACAGTAAGTGCATGCAAACGAGAGAAAGAGAGAAAAAAGATAAAAACGCAGGGAGACAGTTGCAGCAGCAGCAGCAGCAGTAGCAGCAGCAGCAGCAACAGCAACAGCAACAGAGGCAAAACACTGAACAGCAAATCTACACAGACACAACAGCTGCACATACACCCCAACTCAACGCTGGAGAAAGAAACACAGAAAGAGGGTATTTCAACAGCCAACCAGCTGCTGCTGTTGCTGTTGCTGCTGCTGCTGCTGCTGCTGCTGCTGCTGCTGTGCTGCAGTGACCCACTGCCGGGTGTGGGGCCACCAAGGCAGCGGAGAAGCTCCTCCTAGCAGCAGCCGCTGCGGCTGCGGCCGGCGCTGTGCTGCCTGCTTGTCTGGGGGATATCTACGTGCCCTCGAGCCTGCTGTTGCTGCTGCTGCTGCTGCTGCTCCAGGATGCAGAGCAACAACAGCAGCAGCGGCAGCTGCTGCTGCAGCAGGGGCACCTGCAACAATGCTGAAGCCTCAGCAGCGAGTCAGGAGGACCTTCACTCCTCCCCCGGCCTCGGGGTGTACATACACCTCAGACTCTCATCGACGTTACAGCAGCACAGACACCCCACAGATCCTGCAGCAGCAGCAGCAGCAACTGCAGCAACAACACGAGCTGCTGTTGCTGTCTCAGAGACAGCCTCCTAGTTTTTACTCGACCCTAAGTGCAACGCAAGCTGCTGCTGCTGCTGCTGCTGCTGGTGAGATCCGCACTCCTCAGCACCGCCTGCAGCAGCAGCAGCAGCAGCAGCAGCAGCAGCAGCTGGCTGCTGGAGTACGAGGGACATCACTGAGGCGTTTATCCCCGTGCCAAGAAGTAAGCGGTTTGCTGCTGCAGTATATTTTGCTGCTGCTGCTGCTATGCTATTGATTGTGCTGCTGCTGCGGCTGTGTCTTGCGATGACTGAGGGTTTCTTCTGCTGCTTATCCCTCTTTTGCTGCTCCTGCTGCTGCTGCTGCTGCTGCTGCTGCTGCAGTGTGTAAAGCTTCGTGCAGAGGTGGAGTTCCTGCAGCAGCAAAATAATTTGCTGCGCGGCGAAGTCTACAAAGCAGCAAAAGACCTGCAGCAAAAAGACAGAGACATCAGAGAGAGAGATTCTCAAGTACAAATGCTGCAGGTGCATATACACCCCAAGACGAGCAGCTGCTGATGCAGCAGCAGCAGCAGCAGCAGCGGCAGCAGCGTAGCAACAGCAGAGCCAGCAAGAATAGCAAAGGAAGCAGCAGGTGTTGCAACAACGGGTGCTTCTTTATTGAGAATATAGGAATATCGTGCTGCTGCTGTTGCTGCTGCTGTTGCTGCTGCTGTTGCTGTTGCTGCAGGCGCAAGTTAAGAGCCTGTCTTCGCAGCTGGATTGGTTGTCTGCTGCTGCTGCTGCTCGAGGAGGAGCGGATCCATCAGCAGCAGCAGCAACAGATTCTGCTGCTGCAGGCGCAACCCATGCAGCAGCAGCAACTGAAAATGCAGCGACAGCAGCTCCTGCTGCTGCTGCTGCTGCTGCTGCAGGAGACACCGCACCTCAGCGAAGGTGAGCCCCACACAACTTCACGACTGCACACTCTTTTAGGGTTTAGGGTTTAGGGTTTAGGATATTTGTTTCTGACTTGTGCATCGATATGTGGGCAATGTATTGTGCTGCAGCAGCAGCAGCACCGGCAGCAGCAGCAGCAGCAGCAGCAGCAGAAGTTACTCCATTGTTAAACCTGAGGCCTCGCGCGATGCCTCAGCGAGTTCAGAAGCAAGTGCAGCCCTGTCCACGTAAGCACGGTTGCTCC